TAATTTTGCAACAAGGTAGCTTGCTTCTAATGCCTTTTCAGAAACCGTAACCGCCGATTTCATAAACTGCTTTTGTTTCTTATTTTGATCCAAGCACCGTTGGAAAAATTGAATGTCTTTTTTGACGCAACTGGGATGATTTGTGATCAAATGACGGTTTAGTTTGCTGGGTACCATTGCTTCATTTGACAACTGTTCACCGCAAATGACGCATTCAGGCTTTGGAGCCGCTTCGTCGCCACACCAAGTGAAACCATATCGAAGGTAGTCTTGATTGTACTTCCTTTTCAGCACCTTTTTTGCTCTTTTTGCAGCACTTATGCTGGAGCTTGTGCTAGGTTCTTCGTCATCTGCTCGTGATTTCAGCAAAAATTTATCCATATTTGAAGCACTATAGTTATTTATAAAAGTAGATACTGCAACAAAACTTAGTCCAGTTCACTTATTTATAAGGCACAAGAATTTATTTATATAGCAATTCACTATTTATTTCACTCTACGATTTATTTGTTTGCCCGCGTATTTATCTGATTCACTTGACTATTCGACTCTCTCTGAGTCTCTGAGCGACGACAGGCGCGCTTATATAGGCAGTGGCGATGTTCAGGAAAACATCGAGTCGCGCCTCGAACGGCACAGATCTTTCTAGTTTAGTCGCCTTCGAGAATCAAGCCGCCGCGCCGCGCCGATAGACGGATAGACGTTTACCATCGGCGCTGTTGTCAGATTGCTTTATTTTTCGCGGGTCTCGCTACAATACGAATCTGATTCGTATTGTCTGCAAGAGCGGCACACCTCAAGTCGGCTTACGGCACACCAGTGTGCCGCGGCACACCGGTTGCGGAGCACTGATTTAAAGAATAAACAAAAAATTAGGATCAAGCGTTTAAGAAAAATAGAGTTCTTGCACTATTTTTGCACTAATGGTAAATAATATTTGCAAACTTGTTTTTGATTCAGTGTTAAAATAATTGGTTTATTATTTGAATTTCTTTTTGTTTTCAGCGTTTAATGAAAATTGCTATTGTAAAAAAAAAGTTGGCTCTCCAAAATGTCCTGTACATCGATGAAATATGTGAGCCTCGGCCATCGGCATCAAAAATTGATTTAATACCATTGACATTAAACAAGTAGAATGTACCTACCCCAATATTTTTAAGCGTCCAAACGTGTGTAAGTTTAATTTAAGCTCTAAAGCTAGATTAATTTATTACAATGCCCGGACGAATTAGAATTTTAAAAACTACAAATAGTGTACAAATAAAATAATAAAAAAAATTATCTGATGCAGAAATGTTCTTCAACCTATAGTGGACTCGATAAGCATATGGCAAATTTTATCCACATTCAAATTCCCCTTGACAGTAGGACACTAAAAGGACGACGCTTCAACTTCAATTTTTTCAAACTTATATGCCGCTTAAAGTCGCAATAGTATATTATGCAACGATCATGTAATGATGGTTATTAATACACGAGCATTAACCGGGATACGAAACGAGCCAAAGGCGAGTTTCGTATGGTTTATGCGAGTGTTTTAATAACCATTACATGAGAGTTGCATACGCTATTTTTTCTACACCCGATAAATAATCAAGACCTATAAATATTATATTTATATTGGTATTAAACACAATAACAGTAATTACTCGTATTTCTATAAAAAATTCTACAAAATTGTAATTAATGGTATTACTTCAGGTATTGGTATTTCCCTAGATTTTTGCGGTAAAATATTTTGTACTGTATTTTCTGCTTTCTCCGATATGTGTGGAGGAGTCTTCTATATCGCTAATATCAGACATTTTAATATTATAATTATCGAAGTTTAGCTACCTACGAAAATTTAATACGTTTTGACAACTAAAATAATTACATAGGAACCTAGGACAAACGTCAAACAGCATGCTTGATTGAAAAATTGTAGGTTTCTATTGATTAAAAATCTGTATCGTAATGAAAAATCTGTATCATAATGGGTATCATTATGAAACGGATTATGGGCATATAAGTGCATTATTATAATACGGGTGTAGAAAAAACTCATAAACATACATGCTGATTTTGTTAAAGAAAACATTTTTGATAGGTTTGTATTATAAATAATTAAGCAGACAAATTATATGATGCGGCAAATAAGTTTCAAATTTGAAATTAATGCAAAAATCTAATGAAGTAAAATCAAATAAAAATATAAATTGGCAATATATTTGACCAGTTTCAAATCTGAAAACGGTTGATATGGTTGTTTTGTGATTTGAAACTAGTAAGAAAAAAACAATTAATATTTTTGTTTGATTTTCTTCATTACATTTTTGCCCAGTTAGCAGAAAGTTAAATTTCAAAAAGCCCGCCAATGGCGGCCATATTGAATTTAGTGCCACTGTAATTTGATAGATGGCAGCACATCGCCTCAGAATTTTACCATTGAGTTTCCCATCTATTCATATTACCCTAATCTATGGCACCAAGCATGGATAGTCACTTTGAAATAGCCAGTGAAAATAGTCGATTTATTTAGTTCTGATTGGTTCTAACGATAACGTAAATTGCGATATGATTGGTTAAAATGTCAAAGTTGACAGGCGAGGAAAATAATCCAGGGTAATATACCCTTGATTATAGTCGGCTATTTTTGTTTAGTCTAAATTTCGAGAATATTTTAATATCAATTTGATGAGACATAATTTTAGGCATTAATAATCTGATTAGAGCCCGAGAGCTATAGAATCAAATTTGTAAAATATTTGAGAAATGTTTACTTCTCTTGTGTTATTTCCATTTCCTCAATTATTACTCTATATGTAAATTTAAAGATTACTTATTTAATTGGTAAAAACTTAAATTTTAAATAATTGTAGGTATTAAATATTTATATGAATAAAATTTATTAATTATATATCACGTATACTTTGTTAAAATTATTTATCCAGTTAATCTTGCTAATATTTTTTGAGTTTGAGCCTTACTGAAGACTCATTATTAATATAGAAGTCCATTATTCTAGTTTTAAAGTGAGCAATCCAAATTAAAATCTATCCCATTATTCACGACCTCAGGAAACCTTTCGATATTCAAATACCAGAAAGGGCCAAAATCCGGGAAAATAGAGAAAAATAAAACGAATCAATCTGGTATATAGACGGTTCGAAAATGAAAAGCAGCACAGGATCTGGGATCTACCATGTGAACTCAGGGAGGACCATTAGTCTGAACCTGGGGTCATTGACAACAGTCTTCCAGGCTGAAGTAACAGCAACAAATGTCTGCGCTAAAGTCATGCTAAATGACTCTTTTAGTGATAAGAGGGTCTTTATCATGACAGACAATCAGGCAGCCCTTAAAGTTCTGAAAAGGGTAGAAGTACAATCTAAATCAATACTTGATTGCCAACAGTTCCTCCAGGCCCTGGCAGAACATAACAAGGTCACCCTTGAATGGGTGCAGGGACATAAGGGAGTGTTTGAAAACGAGAAAACAGACCTCCTAGCAAGGAAGGGAGCGGAAAAAACTTTTATTGCACCAGAACCCACATGTGGTATCCCATACCAACATATTAAATGGGTGTGAAAGGAACAAACAAATAGAGAACATCATAGGCTCTGGGTGAAACTTCCTGGACTTAGACAGTCCAAAAGATTCTTACGGCCATTTGCACCGACTTTTTATTTAATATTCCATACTTAAGGTTCCTTAAATATTTAAGAAATTCCTAAAATTATGTAATTTGTACCATTTACATTTAAGACCGCCTTACCAAAGGAAGTTTAGTTATTCTTCTCATCGAAAACCAGTAAATTGTTTTGAAATTTTGATATATTAATAATAAATAAAGAAAAAGAAGAAAAAGTTAACCCATACTATACTTGGAAAATTAAAAAAAAAAAACCCGGTCAATGACGTTTTTCATCGTGTAAAAAACTAAAATTGTAAAACTACAAAGTGTTAACCCTCCCGTGTATTTTTTACGTTTACCGGTAGTAGTAATGGATCTCAAAAAATCTCTCTTAAAATAATTAAAAACACAAAAAACTCATATTATTCAAATAAAATAAAATAATCTGTGATATTTTCAATTTGTTTCAGAACTTGCATTACAGTGTCTTTAAACAATCCAAACCTTTTAAAGAAGGTCAAATTATCCATTTCGTTGAAATAATTAGTTATATTATAATACAACTGACTTGGAAACCCAAAATCAGCAATTTCAATTATATCCAGTTCATCATTAAATATAAAATTATCCTCGGGATTCATATTTTTGTTATAAAAAATGTCACTATGAAAGTAGGTAAGGAATCTTTAAGTCTCGAAATTTGACGGTTTTATTAAGAATAGTTTAAGGGTTTCAAAAGGGCTCCTTAACTGACGGTGCAATAAAAGTATGTCACTTAAATCCTACTTAACTTTAAGAAATCCTTAAATACGTCGGTGCAAAAGGCCGATAGAGGGGCCATCTACGAACAGACAAAATCAACTGCTAAACTTCAGCAGAAGCCAACCCAAGGCCGTAATAGGACACTGCGGCCTTAGAAGACACATAAATCTCTTAGGGATATCTGATGACTCCCTATGTAGAATATGTGAAGAGGAGGACCAAACTCCTATTCACATACTATGCCACTGTCGGAACCTTAAATGGGAACGGGAATGGTACTTCGGGGTACAATATCCGGAACCTGAAGAAATCGTGAAAGCGCCCATCAGACATATTTTTGAATTCATCAAGAAAAACAATCTGATGGGATAGAAACTGAGAGGGGTACAATAAGCCTAGAGGTTCAGTACGAGTGGGCTTTGAACCATGCCCTTATTCAGATAGATAGATAGATAGAAGATCTGTCAAAATGTTAAGAACTGCAAACCAGAATCTGCGAATGATCCTATCAAAATGGCATCATTTGACAAAATTCTTTCTCCTTGAGAGTCGCACTACTGATTGTTCTCTATACTGTGGTAAAATTTTGAACAAAATTTATTTAATAAAAAAAATATTCGACCTGATTTGTACAAGTGAAATACTTGTCTTGTGTTTATAGCTACAGATACTGGTTGCCTAGCAACAGCCTCCTTTAAATTCTCTTCGCTGCCTACAGTTACAAAAATATGTTCTTTGGGTTTCAATACAGATTCCGATACATTGAATAAGCAACCTTCATCGTCTTTTGCTTTATATTGGTAATCCTCTTCTCTCATTATCCCATTATCTTCAGTGTACTGCATAGCTCTGTCCATCCAACAACCACTGCAACCATAACAGCCTTGAACACCTGAAGCACAATCAACGAGGTTTTGTTCACTCAGAGAAACGAGGTTTCCTGTTTTAATAAAATATGCTGCTTCAATTGCACCAGTCTGAAAAAAAAATATTTGCTGATATTAGGTGAATAAAAAAAGAGTTTTTAAAGTAGGCATTGGAAAAATGTACGAATATCGTACCATAAATTTTTTCTTTTATACATAATCCAGAAAATATCCTAGTTTTTAAGTATGTGACTCATATCTCTGAATTGGTCGGTCAATGGCTACTTTAGAGGTAAAACAAAGCATTAATTTATAATGGTAAAATAATTATGAGTATAGATCAAGGTTTAGACTGTAACGTTGTAATCGTCACTCCCTTTTAATAATTACAATATTTAATTAGTTCAAATATTCCAATATATTCTAATACTTTTTGAGTGCCCCTCGTATTTGGAAATATGGATATTATGTTAATTCGGGGAAATTGTCTCTGTCTAGAGACATTCTATGGCTCAACCAATGGTAAGCCATCTCTAAAAATCAATAATTACTGTCAGAGGTTGTGGGCACGCCTGGCCACCTCTTGATGTGGAATGCATCACGTTTCACACATTCGGTCGTTTTCTTAATTCTTTTTCAATTTTGCAGCCAAACGAACCAGTTGGTTTAGTGCTTTTGTTTAAGTGTTTCCGAACTAACTAAGGTAACAGAATCATTTTTTTTATAATGAATGGTAGAAATTAATTTTATTATGTGTGTATATCCTGGTGAAATTATCTTTGAGTTATTTCATTCATTTATAGCGAGATTTCCGCGTAATATGAGTTTCATGCAATGTACAAAATGGCTGCCATTAATTTTATATATTTTTTTTAGTTATTTAAAAAAAATCTTTCCATTCTTCATGTATTTTAATTTAAATACATTGCAAATCTATATTATTGTTGTAAACTTAAAATTTTCAATTTAAAAATGTTTAATTTAAATATTAAGCTTTTATGGTTGACTCGTAGGCTAACCACATGTTTTTTTTGCAGCAATGGAAAGATATGTTTTTTTTTAAGCAATGGAAAGATACGTTTTTTTTTTGTAACTGACACGTTTTTTCTTTCTTAAAAATAAGGAACTGGCCCTGTAAGGAACTGGCCCTGTAAGGAATTGGCCCTGTAAAGAACTGATAACTAAGAACTCGTAGTATAAAGAACCCGCAAATAAGAACAGGAGATTGACACCACATCTAGAACTGCAGACTACGTCTAGAAAGTCATCCCTACCTAGTTAAGAACAGGAGATTAATCCAACATCTAGAACTGCAGACTATGTCTAGAAAGTCATCGTAGGCTAAGCTACAGTTAAGAGAGCGACACGGACCAGTTCGACCGTTGAAATCCGGAAACACACAAGATAAGTGTCGGCCAGGACCACACACACTTTTTGAGTCAAAGTTCACACTGGTCAATTTTAATAAAAAAAAAAATAATAACTCATTATCTAGTCAAATAACGTAATTTCCGTAATATGTAATAAAATCAATAAATTTAATTTTTTTTATGTTAATATCACTCATTAATTAATTTATTTTAAATTAAAGCCGATTAATTGTTTTAAAATTTAAGTTCTTTTATTTTCCTTACTTTCAACTGACAAGTTAATGGTAAATTTACTTTTATTGTAGATCTAAAGGTATGGCGTCCAAATTAATTTAATTGAATTCTTTTAAGTCTTTTTAATTAAAGACCTTGCCATTGACTTGAAGGTAAATTCTAAACGAATCCCACTGACCCATTTTGATCTGAGCTAGGCCTGAGGCTTGTAAGAATTCTTATTATAAGGATTTTTACAATGAGACCCAGGTAATGGTTAAAAAGTTAACGTATCATCTGGTACCTAACGTTAAAATTATTTTATATTGCAAAATATATCTATATAACATAGCAAAATATGTTTTAAAACATAACATTTTTAAACATAACAAGACACAAAACTGAACAGAGTGGTAAAAATCAGTTGAATAGGAAAACTACTTACGGTGCTGAATGCCCAACAGGATCCACACTGTCCTTGATCTTTTACATCAGTTAGTGCTCCCTTGTCTCTCCAGTCAACTGCATCTGGAACATTACCATCGAATTCAACTTTAACATTTTTAGTTGTTGCTGAAGTAGACGGTCTATTTATCTTTGAAAGCTTCTGCCTCTCAAGAAATTCCTCGGTGGTTAAATCTCCAAATACATTCATCCCCATTTCGAAAGTAGATAGTCCTTGTTCGAATTTTACATTGTGTTCTTCGATTTTTCGTAAATTTGCTTGAAATACTGAAAATCGGAAAGCTTCTTCAACTGAGTTTTTATAGAATTTACCATGAGTTTTCTATAAAAAAAAATTAAACAAAAGAAAAGGTTAGAAGTTTTTTTGGCATTTAATCTCAATTTAACTTGAGCGCAAGTAACGCAAAACACAACTGCCTTATGACCACAGCACATTGAGCTAGAGGAGGGTGTTTCCCTACTCTACCCTAGAATTTATGGCCAATAGCAGTCGGGCTTGTGCGTACCATGCTGTGGTCATGTGGCTAGTTGTGTTTTGAGTTATTTGCAATTAAGCAGAATAAAAAGTAGATGGTATACACGCGTACGGGTTATGAAATAGTATATTGTAAAATAAATAATTTATCCACAAGCGCAATAAATTTGTGAGGTGACTTGTCACCAGAGATAACAGGAGATGTAACTATCAACAAATATCGTGCTGTAGTGAATAATACATATTCTAAGGGATATAGGAGGGTATCATTTAAGCTATTGTCATATGCCTATTTCATTATTCTTGTGTTGTTTACAAAATTATTTACATATCTTAAAAAAGTAGATATGGGGTATATTTGGACCACTTTTCAAACTTTCCATGCACAGCCATAGCCCTAAAGTTGGCTACCTTAACCTCATGAAAGAAAATTTTTTTAAATTTTCTATCAATTTTTAAGAATTTCTAAGAATTTCTAAGAATTTCTAAGAATTTCTAAGAATTTCTAAGAATTTCTAAGAATTTCTAAGAATTTCTAAGAATTTCTAAGAATTTCTAAGAATTTCTAAGAATTTCTAAGAATTTCTAAGAATTTCTAAGAATTTCTAAGAATTTCTAAGAATTTCTAAGAATTTCTAAGAATTTCTAAGAATTTCTAAGAATTTCTAAGAATTTCTAAGAATTTCTAAGAATTTCTAAGAATTTCTAAGAATTTCTAAGAATTTCTAAGAATTTCTAAGAATTTCTAAGAATTTCTAAGAATTTCTAAGAATTTCTAAGAATTTCTAAGAATTTCTAAGAATTTCTAAGAATTTCTAAGAATTTCTAAGAATTTCTAAGAATTTCTAAGAATTTCTAAGAATTTCTAAGAATTTCTAAGAATTTCTAAGAATTTCTAAGAATTTCTAAGAATTTCTAAGAATTTGTAGATAAGGTGTATATTTTTGATAGTTGACATATATTTCACGCTGACCGTCATCTTGGTTGGTTAGATTAACAGTTGACAGGATTCAGATGTTAGATGTCTTGCGCCGCCCGTCATCTTGGCTAGTTAGGTTCTCGATATACAGAATACGACCTGTCACAATGCTGACAAGTGGGAACTGACAGTTTAGATATGACAACCCTGTGGATCTTTTGTCATTGACAGGGTCAATGGTACATAGTAATTATATAGAATTGCTCAAAGCGGGTCGTTTACGAATGGCCATATTGCCTCGAAAGTTCTCATTGATCAGAGTCGGTTCAGAAAAAATGTGTTTACAAACCAATTTTCAGCCTTTGAATATAGTAAAAAACATAATTACCTACATTTTTACTTGTGTTCATTAGCATGTTCATTTTAAAAAACATGGATGATCAATCTATATGATAATCTATTTCATTGTCCTGTAAAAACCCACTGGTAGCCATTTTGTTTGGAATGCCTAATTCAAAACGAAAACAGGGTCGTTAAAAGTGTTAACCGGGAGCAAAACTATAATAATGTTACAGATGAAAAAGAAATGGTCAATATGTTTACACAAGTAAAGCAATTAAATTTTTATTAAAGCAAATATCAGGGACTATTCAACCAAAACAAAGAACTAAAGGCCAAGAAATTTTTTTTACTAAAAACCAAATGGACTTATATTTTCCACTTCCTGGTTCGACTTCTCTAAGACGATGGGCTAATAAATTAAATTTTACAAATGGAATCTTAGTGTATTAAAATTTATGCAGTTGCAGGAGAATTATTCATAAGCCATCTGTAGTATGGGTACTATTTATGTACAGTTTTGTACTAATTGTGTAGGATTGTCCAGCGATGCTGACCCAGAGAAAAATTGTTTTTTGAGGAATACGTGCAAATGATCTTTTTTATTTTCCGGTCATTAACCTAATTTTAATATCGGAAACCTATGTGACACCTTTTATTTTAGCTCATTAACCTAATTTTAATTTGTGTAATTTTTATGTACTACGTGTACTATTTGGAGCACCACAATGTGTACTAGGGTACAACATTTTTTCAGTGGATTTTACCTCTACATTACACTAAAATAGTAATGATATTTATGAAGATAGTACGTATAAATTGTCAATTATGTATAAGTTTTGTTTATATATTTCTTTCAAATATTTTGACTTGTCATGTACATAAAGAATCAATAAAAAATCATTGTTTTCAATTTGTGATACTTGTATTTTTCGTATATACGTAGGTATTTAATTTAATAAAGATATAACTTTATAAACAAATGTTCTGGAAAATATTGTGCCATCACCGCCCACAATTCTTTGTATTGTAACATGATCACTGAAAGCAAATATACCTATGTATAGGTGTTACTTGGATTCAAATAATAAAGATTTTTCTTATCGTGTCCCATTTATTTCTAAATAGGTATCTTAAACGGATTATAATAAAAAAAGCGTTTATTACATAACATTCTCTATTGCTTTACTAATTTTACAAGAAATATAAGCCAGAGCAGTTTACAATCGTGTTTATTTTTAAATTCGCGCATTCGATGGTCCGGTAACTACGTCATTTTCCCCGAATACTTCCGATGATACACGATGCATTGAACAATCCTATAGAGAAAAAAGTATAGAGAAAGTAAAAGTTGAAAAGTCTTTTGGTAGGTAGAGGGGGGGTGAACGTCAAACCACGTCGGGCGGCTCCGAGAATTTCCCAGTAATGTTAACCTGCCAGTGTCGTTTTATAGAATAAGCAATTTTAAATTGTTATCGGCGGAACCGGACAATCGCATGTATTTATGGATTATAAATAATTATTAAACATGTATTATAATATTCAAATTAGAATTTTACAAAATTTCAACAGCTATTCACAATTTATTAAACTATTTACTCGAAATTGTTATTAACATCTATAAAATAATTTTGTACGCCAACGTATTGCGTACACTTCGGTGAGATCCGCTGCCAACCTGTCAATTTATGTGTATAAAGTGGGAGAACTGGCAAAAGCATTTCCAACTTTTACTTCTGTTCTATTCTTGGCTATTGTCACTGAATAAAATGGTACGGATAGAAAATGGCGTTAGGTTAGACAAATGAACTGGAGTGGGGTAAAATGCTTGTCAATAGGCTTGAGATGCGACTCTATGGACAAAGACAGGTTATTTTTCATCTTACTCGGGAATATTTATAATAACCATTATCTATTTCACATTGTTATTGTCTGATCCACCAGCTTGTGGACTGGAAAATAACAATGTGAAACAGAAAATGATTATTATAAATACTCCCGAGTAAAATGGGCAATAAAAATGACTGCGCTCATAGAATCGCATCTTATTCTATTGATACAATATGCACATTGGGCTTCTACCCCATTCTAGTTCATTGGGTTAGACAGCTTTTTGACATCTGTCATCGGGTTAGATCAGTCAACTTCAAAGCCATGCCAATAGCTTCATCTCATGCAGAGATATAAGCAGTCATTGATAAAATATAATATTCACGATGCCAACAAGGTGAGAAGTAAGAAACGGGATAAACAGAAGACTTTACTTATTTTTAGCAATGAATAAATGTGTAAGCCGCTGTGCGCTTATAATAAACAACGTAAATATTCATGTCGGTGTAAGCCCTGTTGCCACTTCCAACCTAACATCACTAGGTTTTGAAATTTATTGAAAATTATTACATCTAATTTAGTTAAATTTAATATAACTAATGATTCAAAATTTTTTGGGTTCACTTGCAATCAAATAGGTTGAATTATTTTAGCTTTTTTAATATATGTAAATAATTTTGTAAACAAAACGAGAATAATGAAATAGGCTGAAAACAGCGGATATTATACCCGTCTGTGTCCCTTAGAATACGTCTTATTCAGGACCGCACGATATTTGTTAGTAGTTACATTTCCTCGTTATCTCTGATATCATGCTATATCTGCCTATCACAAATCAAGCGAGTGAAAATAGTTGTTATTACCGTCTAAGTGCGATAAAGATAAGAATATAGTATTTTTAACTACGACTCACTAATGAAAATCAACATAATTTTTAAAATGAATTTATATTAGGAGTTAAAAATAAAGTGATAATGTGAATTTACGATTTTTTTTAATTTCTTAAAAAAACAGTCTCAAGTAGGATCTGAAACCTCTTATTAATTTGAAATCACTCACTTTGAAATGTGTCCATTCTTCATGATCACTTAAAGTAGAAACAGTTGCCAAAATAGCAAGGAAAAAGGAGACGCTGTACCTCATCTAAAAGAAAACAAAAACTATGAAAGAACTATAGTATAATGATGAGTAATTTATTAATAATATTAAATTACTGTAGATACAAATATGGAAATAATGCATCTGTAATATGTGGATGTGAGTAGAAGAGAAGGCATCAATCTAAGCAAATGCATGTTACAATTTATTCGCTAATATTGGGCTAATATACACAACCAAACATGTATTTTATCGAGCGCCGGCTTTATTGTTCTCAATAGGTGCTTTCGTTCTTTGTTGGTGCAGTGCGCACCAGTGTCAATTACACCACCTTATTTACCTAGTTGACTTCCTCCTTATTCCTTATACACATGTCGAGTTTAATTATCTCCTGCTAAATAGCTGGTGGAGAAAATATCCAGCATTGGACACCACATCGCCGACAGGAAGGTGTAGTCGATTTCACACTGGGCCAAACGAAAGGTTTAATGTCCGTTGGTGTAATTCATTCCTACACCAGTGGGACGAACGAAAGAACTTAACATATAATAGGAATTATTGCGCACGAACTACACAAGGTTGTCCAATGAAAACTTGAATTAATAATAATTAGTTTTCAAATAAAGGGCAATATTTTACAATACCTAATACTTTTTATCAAGCTAGAGGACGCTAAAATCAAAAGTAATGCAATAAATAGTCTTAGTGCCGACATTTTCATTAAATTTCCTCTTCAATAATGTGTCATCCGTGGTACTTTCCCTATTTAAATTGAAGGGGTTGCTGGAGGGATGAAGATGCTGCAATAAAAAGTGTCCCTTTCAAAACTAAAATCTACCTATCTGAGCTAGATTATTGCGCAGTAAGTGTTGTAAAAGTTATTCCTTGCATACCAATACCATACATCCCAGCATATGCACTGATTTAGAATACGCATTACGTACTCTACTTTAACTACGACTACTCCCACTATGCATAAAAACGTTAAATTAATGAAAACTTTACATCACATTGTTACATTTTAACTCTCATTTTTACTCTTGTTTTCATCTATAGGATGGACTCATAACCATCTAAGCCCAGAGTAGGGATGTTTATTTTTTCAATGGAACAATGTAGACATTGCGGTGATATTATAGCACTACTTTGTTACGTTATTCAACATTACTGGAAGTTACCAAAAATGATGTCTTTTTAACAAACCAGATGTGACATTCCTGTTATATCCAAGAAAGTCTTTTTACTTCTTGTAGATGTTATTATAAAGCCCATAAAATAAAATCATATTAATGAACTAAATGACGTTCATACTTTTTTATTTTTATTAAATTTTCTATGGACTATAAATATTTTATATATTTCATTTATATAAAACAAAATAGAAATAAATAAACTTGTTAAAACCTTAGAAGACAAGTTAAACTTCTATTCTAATTCTAATCCAAGAAAAAGTATGATAATACAATAGTCTAAAAACAATATCAAAGGTAAAAGTAAGTATTTTAACTGAGCATCAGACTCCTCCATAATACAGTACTAGCGGTTACGTAAGCAGCAAGCGATTATTGGTATCTCCATCTATGAACGTTGGACGAACTGTTAGGTCTACCAGGTCTGCGATGTAAAGACTAAAGATAGCCGTCTTAAAGATGTGTAACTTGTACACATTACTGTACTGACCTGTATGCGATATTATTGTGAGTTATACAAATTAACATCGTATAAATGTTTGTCACAGGAAGTAACTAAAAAGAAGTACAAAAGATGTTTATGTAACTGCTAATTGAAGTATTCCAGCGTACATAAAACTTCATTTGTAGATATATGCGAGGAATGATAATGAATATGATGTTAAAATTTAAACATCTATGGGATATTTCAACATTGTTTAAAAATATATCAAGAAAAGTCTCCATGAGAAACGTTACAAAAAAGACTGGTAATGTTTCATATTTAGTGGGCTTGCACAGATAAATGTGCGTTTCGTTTGTATTAATTTTGGTTCTAACCATAATGTTTATGATTAATTTTTTCTGCAATTTCTTGTCTATTTATCCCATGTATTATGTACGTTTATGTATTTATTTAAAATCGGTTTCGGTTTGTTGTTTATAATTTCATTTGTTTAATTAACTTCTTCTATTCCATGTAATACGAGAATATTTTTCTAATTCCTGGATTCTCACATCTTCAATTTTAATGTTTTTTCAGTTTGAGAGACTTTTTTAATTTATAACAATTCTTATTTCTACTTTATGTTTGTCCATTTTTTTATTCATTATATCCAACTTTTGCATTATATGTTTTGTCTTCTATAGGTGTTCGTTTAATTTGAAATTCTATCGAACGAGCGTCGAGGAGACCGAGAAGTGATGACGTCATAATAGAGCATTGAATCAAATGAAATAAAACAGAGCTTAGAGCGAGGAAGTGGCCCTGAGAATGCAGCATATACCACAAATGTCCGCTTTGCTTTCAAACTCCAAGACTGTGATTACTGGTGACTAGATCTGAGAAGAGAAAATGTATTTTTCAAACACTAATTTTATTTTTTTTTGTGATGATTAACACAGGGGAACAGCTGTTTTGGTGTCAAGGTTTTTTGAGCTGATTCTATTTCAATTTGATGTTCTGAATTTAAATAACTTATTCATTTTTACCTAGGAGCTCAAATTTTTTAGAAATACAATTTTAGAGAAATATAAGTTATATTATTTTAACTCAAATCCGTAAGTGTAGTAAACAAAAGTAGATACAAAATTTTTATTTTAGTTATACAAAATACAATATTATGTCGTACTTACAAACAAAAAAAAACATTGAAGAAATAGTCACTCAACACTTCGAAAGCTTCTTTTTCGCAACATTCTTGAATGTTTTTTTAAATAATTCCTTTTTAAACTCCAGCAGTAATCTGCATGTCCCATCTTCCTTGGTAGCGGTCCTCCATAACTTTAATATCTTGGTGAAACCTTTCACCTTGTTCCTCACTTATGTCTCCTAAATTTTCTGGAAAACGGTCTAAGTGGTTGTATAAATAGTGTATCTTAATACTCATATGGCACCCTAAGGATTTGAAACTATTAAGCATCTTGTTAACCATTTCAACATAGATTTGAGCTTTATGTTTGCCTAGAAAATTTTCTACAACTGCACCAAATGATGTCCAAGCTTCTCGTTCAACTTGATTCATTGAATTTATGAAGGCAGGATCCTTAATTAATTGTCTTATTTGTGGGCCGTCAAATATCCCTGTTTTGAGTTTTTCTGTGCTCAACTGATGCATTTTTAACCCTATATATGGAAACATGACCTATTCTTATCAAGAGGCTTTACAAATTGCTTCATTAAGCCCAACTTTATATGTAACGGAGGAAGCATGATTTTTTCTCTTTCAATCAAAGCGTCGTTAATGACATTATTTTCCCCAACGTCCATGTTTTCTCTTTGAGGCCAATCTTTTCTAAGCCAGTAGTGTGTTTTGTCCCCTACTATCCCAGAGGCACAAGAAACACGGATATTTCGTGTAACCACTTTGCTGCCCAAGAAGAAAGTTTACCATTTTTAGGTCTACACAAATCATCCATTGATGTTCGGGATACTTTATCTTTTGCAAGACCAAAGCTACGGTATTATATTTTTTTTTCAGTTTCGTTGAGTGAGCTAGTGGTATTGAACCATATTTATTCCCATTATGTAGAAGGCACATACTTTGATTTTCTTTTACTATACGGAGAATGGTCGCACTGCGCAGCTTTCTGAGTGCCTTTTAAAAGGACCTCTCTCTTGCCTCGTTATACGGGGCAAGAGAGAGGTTTGACACGCCCAACATAGGGCGCTGCCATTTTGAATCCTATGACACAGTTTATAGCTAAAGAATCAGATCGCTCACGCTGCGTCGGCACTTTTGATGTCAATGTTCCAGTTTATACACTGCGCAACTCCGATAATACAATATATGACAACCGCCTATAATAAAACAGCAGTCTTCTGCGTATCCTGGATTTGTATCCCTAGAGTGGATGTTATTTTGGAACTTTCAACTGGTCCGAGTGAGCTAACTGATTCTTTAGCAATAAACTGTGACTCCAAAAATAATATTCACTGACACTGACAGCAGCAAGCAAAATATCAGGTGCGTTTTAATCATCCGCTTCTGCTTCCGGAATTGTCGGTTTAGTCGTTTTAACCTGTCAGATTAAAACAAGAAAACCGACAATTCTGAAGCAGAAGCAGATGATTAAAACGACCTATTAAAAATATTGCGCCAAGATATAGGCAACACGTAATAAGGGTTCAAAATGGCGGAGTTTTCTATTTCCTTTTAAAATGCACTCAGAAAGCTGCGCAGTGCGACCATTCTCCGTATAGTAAAAGAAAATCAAAGTATGTGGGTAGAAGGACACATTTTAAACTTCGCTTTGAACTGTCAATAAATAGGCGCCAATCATCTGGAGTATATTCATGAGTCCATTAATTTTGTGATAAAATACAAGATTGTCTTCTTGAGAAAAGAATGGTAGCAGATACTTTTCTCTTGTAGGGTAAAAGGTAATTTTGGTTCCTTGCTTCAATAAATTTTTGTCATTCAACCTAGAAGCCAGTACTTCAGAAGCTTTTTTCTATAAATTGAGATCCCTGGTGAGATCATTTAATTAATTTTGATTAAAGCATTTAGGAACTGATGACGTCTCTTCATAGTCACTGTTAGTTTCATTAGCATCAGAACTTTTATTAGCATCAGAACAGCGATCAGAGGGAAAATATTCGTCATCAGAGATATATTTCATCTGAGTGCGGGTTAGGGCGTATTGCTAAGTCTACATTGGGATAAGTCCACTTACTGCGGTTATTTCGACTGATTCCTTTAGTATTTACTAAACAGAAATAACAATCATTGAAGTGGTTTTTTGGTTCTCTCCAAACCATTGGTACGCTGAATTTTAGATATTTTCTTTTCCCGGTAGTCCACTGCTGTACATGTATTGTACAAGTTTTACATACGAGATGCGGGGCCCACTTTTGTCCTAATCACCAAGGTTAACTCCAAATATCCAAGATACGCTCACTTTACAAAGTCAGTAATAGGTCTGTTTTGTTGAAACATGTATTCTCAACATATATATAATTACGCAATTACAGACTGACAATAAAATTATTAAAACCATTAATGAATATATAATAATTTTAGAACTCTCATAAATGAATAAACTGAATAAAAACCACATTAGTAAATTAGTTGATGTATCTAAAAAAGTAGAACTGATA